GAACTGAAGGAAGAGAGGGATAAACTGAATAAATTCAGAAAAGATCTAGGAATATTGAAGACTACTCAGGCTGAAAAGAAGGAAGTGAAACAGTAAGCCAATTAGAAACGACAGGAGAAAGCCTCACCAATAGGATGAATGAAATAGAAAACAAGAGTATGAAGACTGGAAGATAAAGTGAACGAACTAGACCACTCAAGCAAAGATTATGAAAAATTTAAGAAAGCACAAGAATGAAATATGCAGGAATTGTGTGACACCATAAAAAAACCAAACTTACAAATCATAGGCATACAGGAAGGACAAGAATCCCATGATAATGGCATAGACCAAATCTTCAACAGAATCATAGAAGAAAATTTTCCAAAATTTCCAAAATTAAAGAAAGACATTAGGATTACAGCTGACTTTTCGGTGCAAACTATGAAAGCCAGAAGAGCCTGGACCAAAGTATTCCCAGTTTTAAATGACCACAGATGCCAACCAAGATTACTATACACAGCCAAAATGTCTATTATAATTGGAGGGGAAAGAAAAATCTTCCATGACATAAATAGGCTGAAGAAATTCTTGTCCACAAAAGTAGCCCTTCAGAGAGTTCTGGAAGCAATACAAAGAGCTGAAGAAAGGAATGACTATACACAAGGGGTTGTGGAAAGAAATTCAATGAAGGTGTAACTGTGGAAAAGTACAGTGTGATGGCTAATCCTGAGTGTCAACTTGACTGGATCTGGGATTAACTGAAATGAAAGATCTTCTTGATTGGATCATCTGAAGCTGGAAGACACACCCCAAATGTGGGTGTTACCTTCTGGTGGCAGCCCGTATAAAAGGCCAAGGCAAAGGAGAACGACAGGCTTCTTGCTGCTTGCCTTCTGTCTCGCTGGTGAGTTTGTCTTGCTGCTGTAGACTGAAGACTAGCTGATCTTTTGGAATTTGTCAGACCTTCAGAGCCAGATTGGGACTACTGAGACATCCAGCCTTGTGGACCGAGTGACTGCGGATTCCCAGCCTCTCCAGTGTGGTGCAGCCATTGTTGGACTACTCGGACTCTATCCTGATAAATCTCTATACATATATATTCATTCTACCGGTTC